ACCGTCCCGCCCACCGGCTCTCTGCCCCCGGGCACTTACACTGCACGTCCAGCACGTACTGCGTCTGCTTGATGTGCCCCGAGGGCAGCGCCTGGTTCTGCGCCTCGCAGATGACGATATCGCCGTCGTCCTTGCGGTCCACGCGGAACCTCACTGTGCTCGCCACGCTCCATACCTTGCCATTTTCCCTGCTGCTGCTCACACCTGCCGGGCCCCACGGGACGTCTGCAGTCCAGGATTCCGGCTCCGCCCCCGAGGGCCCCCCAGCCAATCCGAAAGCAGGCTATCTGCTAAGCCACGCCCCTAAGCCACAGGCCTCGCCTCCAGTCTTCCAAACGACGACCCTCCCCAATCAAGCCCACAATCCCACGTTCCTCTTCCCAAAGCTCTTCCCTCTTCCATTCCACCTCCTCTCATCTATCACTTTTTTAAAAATATATTTTTATTGATTTTTTACAGAGAGGAAGGGAGAGGGATAGAGAGTTAGAAACATCGATGAGAGAGAAACATCGATCAGCTGCCTCCTGCACACCCCCTACTGGGGATGTGTCCGCAACCAAGGTACATGCCCTTGACCGGAATCGAACCTGGGACCCTTCAGTCCGCAGGCCGACGCTCTATCCACTGAGCCAAACCGGCTAGGGCTCATCTATCACTTTATTCAATAGCTGCATATTGCGTGCGTGGCCCATGTCCGCCTGACCTGTGCGCTCTCCTCCAAGCCCCGCCCCCACAAACCCGCCTTTCATAAGCCCCGCCTCTTGCAACCCCGCCTCCTCTCAAGCCCCGCCCCTCGCTGGCACCTCCCTCACCCCTCGTACCCCTTTCGGTAATACCTTTCAGCTCTTTGCGGTCGCGGTACCAGCGCAGAACGGCAACCGGGCGGGACCGCGGGACCAGGCAGCTGAGCTCCACCTCGCCGCCCTCCACCGCCTGCTCCCGGACTTCCACCACGGGATTCTCCGGGGCCACTGTCGCAGGGAGAAGTGGGTACGGGAGGGGGTGGAGCGGGGAGGTCAGGGGAGACAGCCAGGTGGGTTCAAAGTGACCAGGCAGCGGGATTTCAGGCAACAAGGGTCAAACCTAGAGCCCAGAGGTCAGGCAGGCCAGCCATGTGGCCTGGGCCCGGGTGTCCAGGAGGTTGAGAACAGCCCGGGTAGGGCCGCAGGATAAGGGAAAGGCAGAGAAGGGAGGAGGGATGGGCTGCAGGAGGGAGAGGTGGTTACCCAGTACGGTGAGCGTGGCAATCTGGTGGTGGGTGTCCTCCGTGTAGAGCTGGCAGAAGTAGCCTCCCTCGTCTTCCAGGCGGGCGTCTGAGAGCCGGATCCGCACCCTGCGAGGGGAGAACTCCTCAAGCTGGAAACGCTCATCCTTCAGGGCTAGAGTGAGTGAACCAGGAGTGAACTCGGGGAATCCTGGCCTCAGGAGTTGGACCCTTCCTCCAGGAGCTTAGCGGCCAGCCCTCTACCTCTTTTCTCCAGCCATACCTCTGTACCTAAGGTGCCCACCTAGTTACCCCCTGGGGAACCAGAATGATTCCGGACCTCCCACTCACAGGAGTAGGGTTCAATCCCCCAGCTCCATGCTACGGGAGGACCCAGGAGCCCGAGCCCCCAGCCCCTTCCTCCCTCAGACCCAGGAGTCCAGAGTCTCAGCTCTGCCCGCTTTCCGGTCACAGGAATCAGCTCCCAGCCCTCCTCCTTCCAGACTCAGGATTGGGGACCCCAGCACTCACCGCGGGTGCCATTGAAGAAGAGGGTCTGCCGGGCTGGGTTCTGAATGACAACGATGGACCCATCGTACTGGTGCAGACGGCAGGTTATCTCGGCCACCCCGCCCTCGGCCACGGTCACATTCTCCGTCTGTACTTCTTGTCCCGCCCCTGGACAGGAGAGGAGACTCAATGAGGGCTGCAATTCTCTCTCCCCTCTGCTCCTCTCCCATCCACACCTCCAATCCCTCTCCTTCCCCTCACATTCAGTTTATCACATCCAACATTTCCTGCAGGCTGGAGTCCAAGAGATGGACTCTAGGGGGCGCTGCACAGGGCACACTGGGAGCCCAGAGGGCAGAGAGACCAAGACGCTGACGGACTCTTCCCCAAAGTGGCCAGAGACGACCTCTGAAAATAGTTTGCTTATCACCTGACCCAGAAAAACCTCACAAAATCCTGCCATTCAAGAGGTTCAAATCTTTGTGTTCACTTTAAGAACACCCGTGAAACTGCCCAGGTCATCAGGAGTATGCACATTCAAAAAGCCACCAAGTAGCCCTGGCTGGTGTGGGTCAGTGGTTAGAGCAGCAGCCTGTGAATGGAAGGGTCGTGGGTTTGATTCCTGATCAAGGGCATGTACTTGGGTTGCAGGCTCGATCCCTGTCCGGGTTGGGGTGCGTTCAGGAGGCAACCAATCGATGTATTTCTCACATCGATGTTTCTCTGTCTCTTTTTCCCCCTCACTCCCTTCCTCTCTCTCTCTCTCTCTCAAAAAAAAAAAAATCAATGGGAAAAATATCCTCAGGGGAGGATTAAACAAAAAAAAAGCCACCAATATCTACAGAAGCAATGTGTGCCATTCCATCCTTACAATGGTGGGGTTGTAGGTGTGCCCAGGCTAAAGAGTGGGGCTGGACTCAGGGTCGGTAGCACAAAAAGAGTGCTGAATTTAAAAAAAATATTTTTATTGATTTCAAAGAAGGGAGAGGGGGAGAGAGAGAAACATTAATGATGAGAGAGAATCATTGAATGGTTGCCTCCTGCTTGCCCCCCACTGGAGATCGAGCCCACAACCCAGGCATATGCCCTGACTGGGAATCGAAACTCGACCTCCTGGTTCATAGGTCGATGCTCAACCACTGAGCCACACTGGACGGGCAAGAGTGCTGATTTTTTGCTGTGCGTGCTTGAAAATGCAGAGAACGCTGAACGTAAGGGTTTAGATGTAGATTCTCTGGTCATTGAGCACATCCAGGTGAAAAGCTTCCAAGATGCAGTGCAGGACATGCAGAGCTCATGGGCGGATTAACCTGGAGATGGCTCTACTGATGAAGAGCAGGTAGTCCTAAACCAGAAGAGGAAGTTGCATGAAGAAAAAGAGATTCGAGAAGAAACAAAAACGTATGGCCTGGGAGTAAAATCAGCATAAAATAAATACTAATAAAAATTTAAAAAACCCTGGCCGGTGTGGCTCAGTTGGTTGGGCGTTTTCCCATGTACCAAAAGGTTGCCAGTTCGATGCCCAATCAGGGCACATGCCCGGGTTTTGGGCTCGATCCCTGGTAAGGGATGTGCAGCAGGCAGCCGATCGATGTTTCTCTCTCACATCAATGTTTCTCTCTCTCCCTCTTTCTTCCACTCTCTAAAAAAATCAATAAAAACAATTTTTTAAATTGTTTTAAAAAGACTGCCTAGGGCGATGGGGGATTAGAGAAGGTTCTGGAAGAAAGCTCTATCGGATCCAGATCTCGAGTAAACAGGAGCTGACCAGGTGTGGGAGACTGCTAGGCGTTCACTGAACCCCATCTTCCACACCTGGGCTCATGTTGTAGCTTGTCAGCAGGGATGGCCACAATACTCTTCCCTTCTCTGTACATGCCCTTTGTAAGGTGACTTTGCTGCTCCACCCATTGAGGCACTCAGACCCTGGGAGTCTGGGCACGCCTTGTGACTTGCTCTGACCAACAGAATTTGCTAGAAGTGATATTATATGAGTTCTGGAACCTAGGCTTCAAAAGACCTTGCAGCTTCCGCTCATGCCCTCTTGCTGCCCTGAGACAGTTGAGTGAAGATGCCCAGACTAGCTTCCGTGAAGATGAGAGAAGCCCACCAATAGCCAGCAGCAACCGTCAGCCATGTGAGTGAGGCCATCCTGTGCCATCCGCCCCAGTGAGACACCAGGTGACTGCAGCCATATGAGTGACCCCAATTGTGACCAAGGGAAGAATTGCCCAATTGATCCAGTCCAAATTGCTGATCCCAGAGTTGTGAGCAAAGAGCATGGTGGTTTAAAGCCACTAGGTTTTATTTTTATTTTTTTAAAATATACAGTGGGGCCTTGACTTACGAGTTTAATTCGTTCCGTGATGGAGCTCGTAACTCAAATTACTCCTATGTCAAATCAAAAAGTGAACGAGTGAGACACGTGATGCTGGGCTGATGTTGTGGCGTTCACTGTGACGTTCGCTGCGCCAACTAGCGGTGGGGTATCTGAAGCTGGCTCGTAACCCGAATTTTAGCTCGCAACTCAAAGCAAAAAATCAGCTGAGAGCTGGCTATCTCGAAAAACTCGTTAGTCGGGACATTCGTAAGTCAAGGCCCCACTGTATTTTTATTGATTTCAGAGAGGAAAGGAGAGGGAGAGAGATAGAAACACCAATGATGAGAGAAAATGATCACCAATGATCACTGATCAGCTGCCTCCTGCGTGCCACCTACTGGGGATCATGCCCACAACCCAGGCATATGCCCTGACTGGGAATCAAACCATGACTTCCTAGTAAGTCGACGCTCTCTTAATGGCTGAATGGAGAGAACTCCAGGGAGCCTAGAGGAGGATAGAATCACAAGCTGGAAGCCTGGGGCCCTGACTCACTGCCCCCTGTGACTTGTCAGCACAGAACTGTAACATGAGCGAGGAATACACTTTTTTTTTGCAAAGCCACTGAGATTTCAGGCCTGTTTGTTACAGAAGTTAACCTACTCTGATGAACACAGCAGAGGAACAAGGTAGGTGATTAGTAAGGGGGTGTTTCCAGCAGAGAAAACAGCCTGGAAGAAAGCTCAAAGCTGAGATTAATCATCATCAGCATCACCATCATCATTGTCACTGTCATCTTCAAACTAACAATCACAATAGCTATTGTTTATTAGGCACTTGCTGTGCTAAGGACATTACCTGTATAATTTCCATTTAATCATCACAATATCTGAATAAGGTAGGCACCAGTTTTCAATCACGTTTTCTCCCAATTCCCATTTTACAGATGAGAAAATTAGTCCAGAGAGAGAAAATGACTTGCTTAAGGTCATAGCCCAAGAGTGGCAGACCCAGGACCTGCATCCAAGATCTCCCTGATTTTGTATCGTAGACCTACACCCACTGCTGGCTGTCTGGGTGCATGTCCAGCTTTGGTGAGGGATTGTGGGGTGTGCTGGTGGAGAGCCTCAAATGCCATGCTAGGAGATTAGCTTTTATCCTGAAGGCCAGTATAGGTTTTGAAGCAGGAAAGAAGCATGATCACATCTGGTTATATACCTTTAAATGTTGGGTAACTATCGCTTCATGTCTCTGATAGTCTGTCTCATTCATTCATTTGAGTATTTCCTAGGCAGTGGGTAGGTTTCCCAGGGCTGCATGCCCAGAGATGACTCAGAAAAGGTCCCTGTCCTGGAGGGCCTTTCAAGATTTATGTGGAGGGAGACACAAATCACTGTAATATCCCATCGAACGTGTTATATTCCCTGTAAAAAGGATAGGTAACCTCATTTGGGGGCTGAGGGGTGGAAAAGATTAATTCCAGGGGGTGAAGGCAGAGAGAGTTAGCTTTCTACCCCGACATCATGCTTCCCTTTCTCCTTAGCAAAGGAACCCTGATGGTATTTTATGGTTGCCCTATGCCTAGCAGAAAGATACATTTCCCAGGCTTTCTTGCAGCTAAGTGAGTCCATGTGAAAGTTCTGTCCAATTGGATGTAAGGGAAAGTGTCATGTGGTAATTTGGGGAGGATTTCCTAAAATGGGGGACAAGACCCTTGTCCACCAGGTCACCTTTGAGCTGCTTGGAACTAGGATGCTGATGCCTGGAGTCCTGGCAGCCATGTTGGCCGGTGAGGACAAGGGAAGTAGGGATGGTGCAACCAGGAGCTGAAAGGTACCTGGGCCTCCAGTGATGATGTAGAGCTGCCGTAAAAGCCCTGGATGCCTATTTCGGGACTTTTTTTTATGTTTAGTAGAACTTTTTGTGTTTTTAAGCCACTAAGAGTGGTTTATCTAGTACCTCCTGGAATATCAAGCTTCACACGTCCAATCCAAATGTTTTCTTCTTCACGTTTTCCCAATCTCAGTAAATGTCACAACCATCTACCTGGCTGCTCAGGCCCCAAACCTAGAAATCATGCAAGTTCTTACCCTGTCCCTCACCTCTAACATCTTTTCCATCAGCAATATCTATCCATTCTACTTCCAAAACATATCCCATATCCATTCACCTTTGTCTACCTCTTCTACCATAACCCTAGTCCAGGAGTGGGGAACCATTTTTTTTGCCAAGGCCATTTGCATATTTATAACGTCATTCATGGGCTATACAAAATTATCAACTTAAAAATTAGCCTGCTATATTCGGTCAAACATTTAATTAACTCACCCCTAATGCGTTGGCAGGGCCAGAACAAATGATTTCATGGGCCTTATACGGCCCGTGGGCTGGATGTTCCCCACCAGGAGTGGGGAACCATTTTTTTTGCCAAGGCCATTTGCATATTTATAACGTCATTCATGGGCTATACAAAATTATCAACTTAAAAATTAGCCTGCTATATTCGGTCAAACATTTAATTAACTCACCCCTAATGCGTTGGCAGGGCCAGAACAAATGATTTCATGGGCCTTATATGGCCCGTGGGCTGGATGTTCCCCATTCCTGCCCTAGTCCAATGACACTATCTCTTACTTGAACCATTTTTTTCCCCCAAAGATTTTTTATGGCTTTTTAGAAAGAGAGGAAGGGAGAGGGAAAGAGAGAGAAACATTGATGTGAGAACAAAACACTGATCAGCAGCTGGCTGCCTTCTGCATGGCCCCCATAGGGGATCGAACCTGCAACCTGGGCATATGCCCTGACCAGGAATTGAACCAGCAACTTTTTGGTGCATGGGACGATGCCCACCAGGCCATTCTCCACACAGCAGCTAGATGGATTTTCCAAAAAATAAATCAGATCAAGTCACCTCTCTGCTTAAAACCCTTCATTAGCTGCCCATCACCCTTAGAATAAAACCTAGACTCCTTCCCTGGGCTTTCAAGGTGCTATGCAGCCTGGCCCCTCTCTGGCTACAGTTCCAATCACCCTCACTTCACTCCAGCTCCCTGGCCTTGACGTCCTACAAACCCGCTGAGCTAGTCACCACCCAGGGCCTTTTCGCCTGCTCCTCCCTTTGCCTGGAATGTTCCTTCCCCTTGACCATCCCAGGACTGCCTCCTGTTCTCATTCGGGTCTCTGGTCACATGGACACCTCTTCAGAGTGACTTTCTCTCACTCCCCATCCCTTCGCCTCCAGAACAATTCCTATTTCATCACCACTGTTTTATTTCCTGTGTGGAAATTTCACTGAAATTCTTTTATTAATTTGCTCACGTATTTATTGTCCCCCAGCACTAGATATATTCTCCATGAAGCAGGGATATACACCATGGGGTTTACTGCTCTGCCCTTAGTGCCTAGAAGAGTGCCCGGCACTGGATAAATGTTTGCAGATTGATGAATGAATGGCACGTGTCCGGCAGGATCTCATTTCAGCCTCACCACAACTTTGTGACGTCACTGTTCTCATCTTAAACACCTGGGTGACCATCTGTGTGACCTTGGGCAGTGGCTCAACCTTTCTGAGCCTCAGGTGCCCCGCCTGTAAAATGGGGATAAAGCCAGTGCCTGCCCAGTGCCTTGAGCTCAGGGAGCCCTCTGCAAAACTGCTATTATGACAACCTCCAGAAGCTTGCCCATGCACAGGAAAGCAGGCTGCCTGCTTACTCTGGCACTTTAAAAAAACATTTTGAAGCCTAGCCATGGATCCTGCACCTCAGGGCTAGCCCAGTGCTAGCCCCCCATTTTACAGACGTGGAGAATGAGGCTCAGGGGTCCCCGGCAACTAGGCGGCAGACACTCAATACCTCCGGAGAGCCATCAGGATGCCCCCCCAATTTATCTCCTGTTCTCTGCTTGAGGGTGCACATGGGGTGAGGGTGGGGGGTTTTGTCTTATTCCCTCCCCCTCCTGAAGACTCAGTAACCAACAGTGTTTGTGCCTGGAATATCAATGTCCCAGGAGCTTTTGTTTCGGGGTTGGGGGGTGGTGAGGCGGGACTTTCTGGGCAGAGAGGGGTTGAGCTTTGGGGACGAGGGCACTGGCCCTTTAAACTGTGTTGACAGCCTGGAGTCGTCATGGGGATGGTGCCTGGAAAAGAGATGGGAGGGTTTGGGAAAGAGCGGCTGAGCAGGTGACATGCAGAGACCCAGAATCCAGCACTCTGCTCCCTCAGACCCAGGAAACCAGCCCCAACCGCCTCCTCTCCCAGGCTGGTCCAGGCTCCTAGCACCCTCTTCTATCAGGACCAGGAAGGAGTCCAAAATCTCAGCATCCTCCTTCCTCAATCCCAGAAGTCCCCAGCCCCCAGCCTCTCCTCTCTCACACCCAGGACCCTGGGCCTTCAGCCCCCTCCTCCTGCAGGACCCAGGAGCCAGGGGTCCAGAGTACACAGCTGGTGGATGTTTCCACGGAAACCAAGTGGGGTGGGGGAGCACTTCCTGGGTCCTGAGTCAGCGAATACCCAAGGGAGTCTCAAGGTCACGGTTCCAGGAAGGTCACAGCCACCCCTCCGTATCCGCTCCCCAGGAGGTGTGTGGCATCATGCCTCCTTCTCCCACTTCCTCCCCTAGGGAGGTGGTACATCCCTGCGTCCTGATTGAACACCCCCTCAGCCCCCCATCAATGGCGGAGTCCGAACATCCTTGCACAAAGCATCAATTCTTCCTCAGCTCAGCCTTGTGAAGGCGCCTGTATTCGCAGGACCCAGGCATCAGGGTCCCAGCCCCTCCTCCTCCAAGACCTAGGAGTATGGACCCCCAGCCCCCTTCTTTCTTGGAACCCTCCTTCCTCAGACTGGAGCCCAGCCCCCGGCCCCTTCCTCCCTCAGACCCAGGAGTCCAGGCCCCCAGCTCCTCCTCCCTCAGACCCAGGAGTCCAGGCCCCCAGCCCTCCTCCCTCAGACCCAGGAGTCCAGGCCCCCACCCCACTCCTCTCTTGGAAACTTTTGACTCTAGGTCCACAGTTCTTAACTCCCAGAGCCACAGTCCTGCCTTCCCCCAGCCCTCTATCCCCCTCTTATCTGGAAACCAAGCATCAGGTGGGGGCCTAGGGGTGAGTCAGCCTCACACACAAAGTCTCCCCGGTGGCCCCCACATTTCTGGGATATTCAGAACTCCCTGGATTCCAGGCCTCAGGCCCAGGGGGTGGGGGAATCCTCTGGAGTTTCCCCGATGTGTGTGTGTGGGGGGGAGGTCAGTGGAGGAATTCCTGCTCCGGGAAGGGTGCAAGCTTGCACTGAGCGCTCACTGTCCTATCCTCCACCCCCAGCGGCCACTATTCACCCCCTCCTAGGAGTGCCCAGGCTCTGCTGCTGCCCTCATGCCCTCCTGGGTGCCTGCGGAGGAGCCTTGGTGCCCGGTTCCCAGAAGACCGAGGGGCCTGGGGTCTGCACAGGCAGAAACCAGTGGGTGCTTGGGTCCTGGTGCCACAAGCCATTGGGTGCTGGCGAGTCTGACTGTCTCCAAGTCTCCCCGCCCCACCCAGAGAGAGAAAGCTGTCTTTGTGTTCCCCAAGATGGGGACAGGCCAGGCTCGCACGACATTAACCCACCCCGGCCCCAGCCTCGCTGTGTCTAAGGTCTTGGAATCCTTTGCAGAATCTGACCTCAGCTATAGGGACTCAGGCATCCAGCTCATGGGTGGGTGGGGGTCAGCGACAGAAACTTCCCAAGACCTGGACCCGGGGCTGACTCAGATTGGGGGAAGCCCCCCTGTCCTCAGAGTGGCTGGTCAGGACTTTAGAAGGGAAAAGTGAGTCACTGAGGAGGGAAACACTATTCGGGATCAACAAGCTCCCCCTCCGCACAGCCCCCCAACTCTAACAGCCTCTGTGTCTTTTCTCTGTATCTGGACATCTGTTTCCTTCGCGCTTTCTGTTCCAGTTTCTGGCCTGTGTGCATCTCTGGGCAGGCGACCCACCCCTTCTCACTTCCCACCCTGGACCCTTCTTTCTTTTGGGCATAAATCTCACCATCTTCTGCTATTCGTGGCAGATGAGTGAGCCAGGAAAGAGAGAACACGTCTTTGAAAGGACACAAGTGGACGCCATCTCCCATCCCCACTGCTGCCGGCTGGGCAAGGTGAGAGAGGAAGGAGGGGGACTAAGAGGGACATGTGGGCACCCGGCACACACCCTGAAACCTAGTGGCCAAAGCCATTCAGAAACACCCAGTGAAAAGGAGAGCAGGCAGAGCCCGGCCCTCTGAGATTCTGCACTCCAGCGCCCTAACCCCATGCTTTACAGAAGGGGAAAGTGAGGCTCCGAGAGGGATGGGGGATGACACAAAATTATCCCAGAGAGGCCCAGTTCCTCGGCTCCCAGTCCAGAGTGCTTCCCATGACACCATTCTCTCCTGACTTGTTAAGCCCCAGGATTTAGAGAAAGTTTACAGAAGGGATTAGAGTACCAGGATGCGGCGATTTTAAACAAGGGAAGAACCAGTAAAGCGACCTCCCGGAAGTGCTGGATGAGAGATTGGTGCACTGAGTAGGTGGCCGTCTTGGGCCATCTTCTGACGCTAAGACTCCAAAGTCCCACAGTTCTCAGCTGTCAAGATTCTAGATGTCAGAGATGCCAAGATCCAGGAGGCCAAGATTTCAGAATGTTAAAGAGGTCGAGAGGCCAGAATGCCAATGCCATCGAGGTTCTAGACTTTGAAAGGTGTCGAGATTTTAAAGATTCTGCGATTCTAGAATCCTAACCGTGTCCATGTTACAAAATACCCTCGGGTTTTTTTTTGTTTACTGCACTAATTGGCTCTAGGATTCTATGAGGCTGGATTTCAAGGGCCTAAAAAAATGACGAAAGAAAAATAAAACTGGAAGGAAATGTAGCTAAGGTACCAGAGCACTCATCTGGGAAATTGCAGCGTGTCTGTTGCAAAGAAAGGAGGTAAGGATACATACACATCTTGAAGTGACAGCAGAGACTAGAGGAGAAAGCAAGGTGGGTGGTGAAAGGCCAGCTTTGCCCCTCACCTAGTCTGGGGTTCAAGCTGGAATTCCTTCCCTTTCAGATCACTGAGTTCAACATCCAGACTTTACAGAGAGTGAAACTGGGCCCAGGAGAGAGGAAGGTTCTTGCCATCAGCTGCCGTGGCCAATGGCAGGAGTCAGGATTGACACCCCGGCCCCCGGCCCTGTACCATCTGGTTACACCTCCTCTCTCAAAATCTCACAGAACCTCCCGCCCTCCCACTTCTGCCCAGTCACCTCCCAGTCCTCAAGATCAGCGCTACCCACCAGGGAGGCCGTGGCCTGTGACAAGTTCGAGGCACACTGTGTGAAGGGTGTGTGGGTGACATTTCCTGACCTTGTCCCCAGTCTCAGGGTCACGCTGTCTTGGAGGTCTCCAGCTTCTCTCCGTGTGTGGAAGCTATGTGGATGGCTCTCTAGCTGCTCTGGAGGGGAGCAGCTGGGTGTGTGACCGGGTGGGGAGGGCCAGCATTTGGGAGGAATTTGCTGAATCCACGTGTGTGCCCACATGCCGAGCTCACCACACAATTCTCCCCCCCCCTTTCCCCCCACATTTCTCCAGGGCCTTTCAGGATGCCCTGCCTGACTCAGTTCCCCCCAGGGGCACATAGTGATAGGGAGGTGGAGGGATGGAGGATGGGGATGGGGATCCCAGGATGGAGGTTGTAAGGGTAGAGAGGGGAGGCGACAGAGAGACAGTGGGACAGAGAGAGGGGACAGAGGAGGAATGAGAGCTAGGTGACAGAGGGGCTGGAGAAACAGAAATGACAGAAAGACAGGGGACAGAGAAACGAGGGGATGGGACAGATGGGGGACAGAGAAACAAGGATGACAACAAGACAGGGGCAGAGAGGGAGAGCAGAAACAGAGGGACAGAGAAGGGGGGCTAGAGAGGACGACGGGGGACAGAGTGACCCACTAAAAAGGAACAGAGACCGAGGGACAGAGGTGGGGGACAAAGAGGATAGAGAGGTAGGGAGAGGGAGGCAAGGAGAAAGGGGGGGGGGCAGTCAGAGAGAGGGGCAGGACTTCGGGACTGAGGGACAGGGGGCAGAGGACAAGGGTAGAGGGACTAGGAGAGAGACTGAGGGACTCAGATACAGGGGGACAGAGGGACGCAGAGAGCGGGCAGAAGGACAGCGGGACCGGCCCGGAGAAGGCGGGCTGGGGCGGGAGGTGGGGGCG